ATGGATATATTGATGGCATATATAAATTGATATGGAATATTGATGGCTCTCGGTCTTTTTGAGTCAAGAGTTTCCTGTCACGTTCACTTTATACGTGCTATTGCTGTCGCTTACGTGTAGAGCATAGTTCATTATGAGAACAGAATACTTCATATTTAATCTTGGGATCACATATAAAAAAAACGATACAATTTGTTATAACAATTATATATATATACTTTTATTTCTGTACAACTTGTTTATTCCTTATTCGAGAAGAGGTATGAATCACTGGCACCTGTTGTCAGATTCCAGGCATTCTCATTGCCAATTATATTACTTAGGCTAAGTAAATCAAATTTGGTATATAAGACTTTAACACTCATAACATCTTGTAAGCCATCTCTGCGGTTTTGGTTAATATCAAGCATTAAGTTGATCATCTCCGGGTAAAAGTTGGGAAAATTTGGTGGCTGATAGAATATTAAGTGTCGGATTCCTTTGATACGAGTGCGCCGGAAGAAATGACCTCTCTCTGAATAGAGCATCAATGGAGCACCGCTATGGAAGAATATATCTCTCGCACGGGAGATTTTCTCCTTCTTTGAATATTCGCTTATTTGGACAAAGCTAATCATTTCTTTCTTAAAGTGATTTCTTAAGCGCACATAATCGAAATAGCTGGGCACATAAAGCAGACAATGCGAGTACCCAGACTTTGTGAATTGTGGCAAAATGTTCCGCACGAAATGCTGAAAGCGATCCTCCAGAGCTGACTCAACACTTGAGCTTTCGATGCGCTGGAAAACTTGTTTGATTGGCGTTAGGACATTGCTTATGGATCCACTTTCAATCTGATTGATAATGCGCACTTTTCCTTGGTAATTATGGCATTTATTATTTATGACTCCGCGAAATTCAGGCAGATCGTGCGAGCAAAACAGTAGGGTTTGCCTATAAAAGCGGGACGTGGCATTGAGGCAATATGAACGCAGTCGTTGGCAATTAGTTTCGGGCAGTTTTTGCGGCTGCAGATGTAAATGGTCCAGGACTTGCAGCAGATTCTCCCAATTCTGGGCTAGAAGCAGCTCCGCTTGGTCAATAATCAGCAACTCGACTGAATTCAGAAAGTCAAAGTCTTGGTCCTTGTCATTAATAACCATACGCAGTGCCAACGGAGAAGCAATTAAAATATCCGATCCACTGAACTCAGTGTACAAGGACATCGATTTTTTAGTCAGGCGAATTCCGATTTTAAAATTATCATCCGTATTGCCATTAAATGTTTGCACATAATCAGCTGGTTTGGGATTGGTTTTTGGGAAATAAACCGTATTTCCGGAATACTCTTCAAGAAAACGTTCGTACTTTGTAATCGGATAGCCAGTTTTTGGATCTAGAAATAATATATATACATTTGATTAAAATTATTATATTTCTAACAAAGCTTCATTACATACCCTTGCGATTTTCGAATAGCAGTTTTGCTATTATTTGCACAGTTTTCAAAGCAGAATCACGAAATGGCAATATAATAAGCGCCTTCAGTCGCGTTAGACCTTGATCCCTGACACTGTCTGGCAAGGATAGTTCGCTCGCCGGTTGCGTGGGATCTTTGAGAAGTTCATTGATTTTCTCATTGTTACGCAAGATCAAGGCCCTACATTTTAATATATGATTTATTGCATGCAGGCAATATACATAACGAATTTCCTCCGCATTATCAAGAGTTCGCTGAGGATAGTAAAGATCCAAGTATCTGTTGGCAATATGAAAGAGCTCCGTTTGTACAGTGGATAAGGGATAGGAAACATTCAATGTTAGTGATGGTTGTACTCTTAATAACTGAAGATCCGTTGCTTTTAAAATATTTGCAGGCTGTTTGTAATTATCATCCGAGTCAACAGTAGATTTTAAGTTTGGTTTCTCGATTTTGAAATTTCCAATTGCAGACCATTTGCCTTTCACCTCTTTTGTGTCTTTTGCAATTATTGCAGAAATATCATCTGAGTCTAGTTCAAAATCAAATCGATTCCTAAAGACATTTAATTTCTTTATATCTGCAATGTCTTGAGGGGTTTGATCCATTTCTGCATCATCTTCCTGAACTTTTGTTTCTTGTGCAATACATTTCTCTTCACTTTTTACTGTGGGAACTGAACGGAATGTGTTAATTAGGAATATGCTGTGCTAAATTTAAATAAATTACTTCCATACCTGCTATTGTCGAGCTATATCCACTTACAAGCTGTTCATAGAATTGCGCTTCGTCTTGCAGTTCTGGTAGAAGATCGGCAGTTAATTTAGATCCATCATCAATTGTGCTCTGATATTGACTCTCAGTTCTATGCATTTGCTCCATTTGTCTGCTTCTTTGTATGAATTTGTGTTTGTTCGGCGGTTTTTTGTCCTTTCGTAAGTCATTTCGTTTAGGCCTTGAGCCAAAATGTTTACGCTTCTCCTTCATTTTCATTTAACCTTAAGTTTCAAATTCAACTCGTAAACAACGTGGAGCACAGCTTGTTGTCGGACTGACTAATAGCGATGACAGTAAACACGCAACGATAGATAAATATTTGACATATTGAAATCGATTATTCCCGACTAACCTATAAAAACTATCGATAGAACTGAGCAGATGCTTTTATAACTATTAATATAAATTTATTTTTAAATTATTTATATTATCTTCCGAGTTCTTTTGTAAATGAATAAAATAGGATTTTTTTTAAATTTATTTATAAAATCGATTAAAAAAGATTTAAAAACATTTGTATATGTGGAAAAGGGTGGTAAATATATCAGTTAGTAAATGGAATTATTCTTTTTACAAATTCATTTTGTACATTTAAATTCAGGCAAACATTTTTTTGATGACATTTTCCAGTTTCACTGTATCAACAGCAAATTTGCGTATGCCCTCAGACAATTTGTCAGTTGCCATGGCATCCTCATTGAGCAACCACCTGAATCGACTCTCATCAATGGTAATCTTCTGAATATCCTGTAGCTTCGCATTGGACACAGATAGAGCTGTCTCCAGTACGACATCATCATTCTCCAGTTCCTTTAGTAAGCTTGGGCTGATCGTAAGCAAATCGCAACCAGCTAACGCCTTAATTTCGCCAATGTTTCTGAAGGATGCGCCCATCACCAATGTCTTATAGTCATATTTCTTGTAGTAGTTGTAGATATTCGTCACTGAGATAACGCCAGGATCAGCTTTCGGCTCGAATTTCTTGGTCTCTGTGTTCGCCACATACCAATCCAAGATGCGGCCAACAAAGGGGGAGATTAGTGTCACACCAGCTTCGGCACAAGCCACAGCTTGGGCAAATGAGAATAACAGAGTGAGATTGCAGTGCACTCCATGCTGTTTTTCCAGAATTTCTGCCGCTTTGATACCCTCCCACGTTGAGGCAAGTTTTATTAAAATGCGGTCCTTTTTAATTCCGAAGCTCGCGTATAAATCAATTAATTTCAATGCCTTCTCCACGCTTTTCTTCGTATCAAACGAAAGACGTGCATCTATTTCGGTGGAAACTCTGCCCGGAACAACTTTTAGAATTTCGCAGCCGAACAATACGCACAAATAATCCATCGCCTCCGATACCTTGTTCTCCAGTGGTCTACAGTGAAGTTAAATTTAACATTATAAGTAATATGTCTGTGTCTATTTGTATTTATATATATGTGACTTACCCATCTTTCTTCTTTCCATATTCGACAGCATTTTTAACTATGTATTGGTAGCGCTCCATAGTCGAGGCCGACAATATAAGCGATGGATTAGTCGTGGCATCAGTAGGCTTATATATATTTATAGCTGAAATAAAGAAATGCATTATTAAAGAAAGTTGCGAGACATACAAATAATTTTATAAATAACAACCGTTCCAAACAATTTTCCACTTTAAAAAATTTCAAATTAGAATGACGTCAAACAGTGAATAAGTTTTTTAATTACAGTTTATTAAGGCCTTCAAATAATGAATGCAATTTTCAACTTTCAAATAAGCACATT